TGGAGGGTTCAGGGTATCTCCTAGTCGAGCAGTCTCGACTAGAGTCTTCTTACTTGTTTATTTGTGAAGTCGAGTAACTGGTTGGGCTGGATAAATGCAAAGTGAGGTCCTTTTGCCTGAAATATCACCAGTCTCAGTTCGAGTGGCAGCTCGCAGTAAATAAGTTGAATAGCCGTGCAGTTGCCAAGTTCGCTGAGAGTGAGGGAGGGAGAGAGAGGGCCGTAGGAGCTGTTGCCAGGCCCAGAGAGTAATAATGACCGAAATCAGAGCAGTCATTTTATTAAAATAACAAAAATATTTTGCTGCCAGCAGCAGCCTTTTTACGACGCGCTCGGTTGCCATTTGTCGGTCATTGCCTTTGAATATTTGTCCGACTTGCTTTATGTGTATTTCTCTATCAAAGTGGGTGTGTGCGAGTGTGTGCAGGAAGCTACTCTGCTACTGTCACAGAATTGCGCTGGTCGAGTCAAGGAAGCGTCGATACATTTTAGCTAACCAAAGTTATGCATTTGAGCTGAGAGAGAGAGAGAGAGAGAGGGAGAGAGGGCGAGCGAGAGTGTGGCAGAGAGAGGAAGAGATTGACCCTTGCCACTTGCTTTATGACTCACAGGGGAATAGATCCGGAAAAATTATTGACTCTACAATAAAACGAAGAGCCCCGCTTGCTGCACGTAAAAGCAAAACTTTGTCAAGCGGGCCGCAGGACCCTCAACTCATATTTCCATTACAATGAACTACAGATCCATATGCTTCTAAATGAGCTGCTAATCTTGATCTTTATAGTGCGCATTACATAGTTGATTTCATGGTCACATGGAAGGTATATGTAGTAGCTCACTATAAGAAACATATGTGCCTCAAGATACAATGCAATCGCCATGAATCATTTCGAGTATTATCAAGGGAATCTTTAGTGAATTTCTCGCTTTTCGCAATATATTTTGATTTATTTTTGATTAACTCACATAAATTATTGCTGAAAAGTGGACGAAAAGATAAGATAGAAGATAGATAGAAGAAGAAATTGAAGTTTTCAGCAATGGCTAGGAATGGCTTGCTCTGCTAGTAAATACCCTGAACCTGAAGAGATTCGAGATATTGAACAAATGCTGAATAAGCAGAACTTAAGGAGAATTTACAATTTTAAACATTTCTTGACTAGCAAATGAGTGGGGAGTGTTCTACTAAAAAATACCCTGATGAATAGCCTATTCCAAGTAACTCTACCTCTGTCTAATCTTATACTCCCATTCCAATTCCATTCAACTGCTAAATCTTAGCCTCTTTCATCATCCATTCACTAGAATTTTATGGCATTTTCACTTGACTGTGTAAGGCCCGCCTTTTACAGCTATAATCCTACGCACTACTCTGGCCTAACGATCTACCAATTAGTTAGCCTATTAAAACGAAGCAATTGAGGACTTGTTTAAATGGTCATAAATGGATATTAGTGAGCAGCTATCAGATTAGTTCAGTTGCTTGTCTTCCTAGCATTGTCATATTTACTGCATAATCACGTTTCCAGATGCCTTTCACGTAGAAACCTTTTACACTAAGCTGGCAATCCTTTGGACTCGGGCAGCGCTGTCAAACGCACAGATTTGTATAAGTTGTCCCCATGTGATGGACACTCATCACACAAAAGTGACATTTATATTGATGTGCCATCAACCCAATTAGATCAACAATCTAATACAAGACTGTCTCACTGTGTGTGTGTGTGTGTGTGCGTGTGTGTGTGTGGTTTGTTTGCATCACAGGAAGTCATATATCCCGAATTAAGCTTTGTGTGCACGGCAATTTGCGACATCAGAGGAGCGGGTCAAATGGACCCGACCCGACCCGATCCGACCCGACCCACACGAGCCGAGCATATAAGTAATAATGTAATTATAGGCCCATAAACAAGTCGTAAATCAATAAGCAACGCTCACACACGCACTCACACACGCTTGCTCTCGGCCATAAGTAGAAATTACATATCACAACAAAAACTATGTACAACAAATCAACTAAGTGCGGTTATCGCACAGCTGTCCGACTGCACAATACCCTAGCCACGCCCTTTAACTGCTTTAACAAGCAATCGAGCGAGCTCATGGAATGTCTTGCTGATTAAATAAAAGATCTATTTGAGCTTGAGAGTCAAAAAAATCCTGAGAGCAGTGTCAAGTCCCAAAATCGATATTTATCGATTAAATGAGACAGCTAAGAATATTATACCCTTATCTTATATTGCTTTAAATAAATATTAGAAATATCATTGATACATATTTCTACTTCATAATATTCATGACTTATAGATAAATATTAATATCGAATATATCTAATTATGTATATATATATATACATATATATATATATATATATATATATATATATATTTCTCAGATTGTTTTTCAATATTTATTCATATTAAATCTTCAAATCGGTAGCCATAGATATTATAGAAATAGTTAAGTAGCTAAGCTAACCTAACTAAAATATGTAGTGCTTGGGCTCCTAATTTATTTTAAACGATAAATATCGGAATCTATATTTATCGATTACAAATAGGAGTGCATAGAGCGTAGGTCATTCAAATATGATATATCTTAAAATCTTAGAAACAAAATTTATTATGATTATATGAAGCCAAACTCGTAGACTCTGTCACATGCATTAAGAGAAAACAATCCCAGCTCGCTTACGCATTTTAAGTGGGCTCAGGGTATACAAATTATGTTTTCCCCAAAAAAAAAAGTAAAATAAATAAAAAGTGGAACGCAAAATTAACGATATGAGAGAAAGAGAGAGAGAGGGAGAGAGAGTGAGAGAGGGAGGGCGAAAGGAACAGGAACTCGAAGCAATTCATTCTCGTTGAAGTCGGTTGGTTTCGTGTTTCGGTTGTTTCCTGTGGCGCGCCACAGTCGGAAGCGTCGCCATAATTATGGCATAAACTCAGCCATAAAACTGCTATAATGCGAGCTTTGCACATTTCCCGTTTCGTTCGCAGCCTACTCGACGGCCGCACTGCTTGCCATTGTCTTTGCCATACCCTTTGGCATACGCATGCTGGTGCACAAGGATCGCGGCCAGTGGGAGGAGTTTGGACCGGCCTTCTATACGGCCCACTTGGAGCTTTTTCTCGGTAACGGCTGTCTGGGTAAGTGACCATTCAACTTACTACAACTGCAAACAAACAAAATATATATACCAAAGCTCATCTCCTAAGGGCTTACACAAAAAGTCGAGCAGCACTCGAGAGTTGAGTATGATTATAAAAGTGAAATACGCAAATATTAGATTGCTGATGAAATGTTTCTGAACTTAAAGTGTACGACTTGCAAATACCCTATATGAATCATTTTTTTATTATTATTAATCTTTTCATGTAGTGATAAAAAAGAAGGAAACTCGTGTAAAAATAAATTACTTATAAAAAAATATTTTTCATTTTAAATATTTTATAGTAAATGATTAGAATTTTTTAGTATTATTATTTCTAAAATAAAATACTTTTGTTTAGTTTCTGATAGTTATCTGTATTATCATTATTTTGCATTGCCGAATATTTTCAAATCAATGTTATAGTTTTCTAATAGATTTTAAATATTGTTTGGCATAACTTAATATTTAGTATTTTCTTTTATATTCTAGTTTTGTTTAAAATTTTCTATTATTTATTACTAGGAATTTTTTTTTAGTATTTTCTATAACCTTTTCAAAGATTTTAGCATTAGACTAGTCATATTATATACCTTATGGAAAATACAGTATATTACAAAATAAATAAATAATAATGATTATTATTTTATAATATATTATAATATTAGCTCAGCACTTTCTAGTATTTTTATTTTTTAGAGTTTGTAGTCTTTAATTTCTTTGTGTACTCTAATATGTTTTCAGTATTTTTATTTTTAAAAATAAATAATACTTTCTATTCTTTTTAAATATATTATAACGTTTGTTCATCACTTTCAAGTATTTTAATTTGGTATGTTTTGTAGTATTGGACATTTTCTTGTATTTTATATAATTCCTGTGTATTTTAATATTTTTAGTATTTTTTATGTTAAATAAAGAGTTCTTAATATAATTTTAAAATATATTTTAAGATTTGTTCATCACATTAAAGTATTTTTAATTAAGTCTATTTCACACTTTGTGCATTTTCTAGTATTCTAAATAATTCTTGCGTATTCTAGTATTTTTTAGTATTTTTTGTGGCTATGCATATGGACTCCATATTCCCTAATATTTGCATTTTCCAATTTTATATCAATTGAGCCAACAAGAGCAACAACATAAAAAATTGCATTGAAACAAAAATGATTCAAGTTTTAAAGCTGCAACAATTTTTACCAGAAGGCCATTTGGTAGGACATGAAACATTATTCAAATAGCCTTCCCTTCGCTGGTAGAGCTTCAAGCTAGAGCATCAATTTGGAACGACTCGCTTTAAAATTCCGCACAGAGCGTATCGAATGCTCGCCTCGACCTCATTCGAAGTGCTGGGCTTGTTAGCGAGAGCCAAGGACTTGACGTTGTTCCAGAGAACATAATCGAGTGGTGTTAAATGTCAAGATGATGGCTGAGTCGCCAAATTGCTGCTTCACAGCAGGCGAGCTGGAGTTTAATTAGAAACTTGAAGAATGGCGAATGAGAAAACTTCGATAGATGATAATTATCGATAACAACTATTTATAGATATGTATATGTATCTCTGTACTCTGTTGCAGGTGTGGGCGTCATGATGCTATTGGTGCTGACCATCGAGCGTTATGTCTCCGTGTGTCATCCGGGTTTCACGCGACCCGTGATGGGTCCGCCAGGGTGAGTATGGGCAGCCCGGCCGTGCCGTAAAGCTAACATTCCAGCTAACATTCGTACGCCGTTGCGGCACATTGCAGCGTGGTCGTCTTCATCACCTGCTTGGTGACCTTCGTCATCTACTTGCCGAGCATCTTTCGCGGCGAGCTCATCAAGTGCATGCTGACCTCGAACAACGTGTACGTGTATCTCCGGCGGGACAACAACATCTACCAGCGCACCATCTTCTACTCGGTGTACAAGATAATGCTCGAGGTGATCTTCAAGCTCGTGCCGACCGTCGTGATCGCTGGCCTCAATTTGCGCATCATGCTCGTCTATCGCCGGACCTGCGAGCGCCGCCGTCAGATGGTACTGTCGCGCTCGACCTATGTGAAGGACGACGATCCGCGCAAGTTTGCCGAGGAGCGACGGCTGTTCCTGCTGCTCGGCAGCACCTCGATCCTGTTCCTGCTCTGCGTCTCGCCCATGGCCATATTGCACATGACCATCGCCTCGGAGGTGCTGCCCAGCTTTCCGTTTCAGGTGTTCCGGGCACTGGCCAACCTGCTAGAGCTGATCAACTACTCGATTACGTTCTACATCTACTGCCTGTTCAGCGAGGACTTTCGCAACACGCTGATGCGCACCATCAAGTGGCCGTGGCTGAAGGGCAAGCTGTGCCACCAGGTGGATGAGGTGAGTGCCACACCGCCAGCAACGGCTACAGCAGCGGTTTGTAATCCAGTTTGCCCGACAACTCTTCACACAGACCACACAGGCCATCATGGGTGTTCCAATGGTGCGATTCGAAAAGGTGAACATGCGTAATCATCACATCACCACCACATCCGGCATTGGACGGTCCAGCAGCATATAGTCCCGGCCTAACACTCCCCAATCCTCGGTATCCTCTCCGTCGCCCTCGCCCTCGCCCTCGCCCATGCACTCGCTCCCATCCACTGCCACGCCTTCTCATTCGCCCCCATCCCCAAGTCCGCCCCTCTTTTCGCCCACGCCCTCGCCAGCTACCACGCCCATAACCCTACCCAGCCCATTCCCGTCACCACGTCACACCGCATCGAGCAACGATCCGAGCGTGGTTTGAAAGCGTCAAATCCACTCGATTGCTATCAATGAATCATCTCGCTATCTACATATTTATACCCAACTAACGGAATATCCCAACTACTCACAATATGCGTAAGCCTCTGGACGCATCCAAAACTCTTCATGACGCAACATTTTCAACACTTTTCATCTGCTTTGTTCGAGATGTAACTGAATTCTCTATGCCTTTCACAGCTCTCAAAAGACCTTTTCACTCGATTTTACAGATTACAGACTATAAACCAGACAGACCGATCAAGACAAGCAAGTTTGAGTTTGAAGTTTAGATTGAGGAATTTCCCAAAGAGAGGAAGAAGAAGAAGTAATGCATATGAAGCACTCGACTAATATATATAATCGACGAAAATTATTGGTGTTGTTCCATATTGATGGTAGAAAATGAATTTTCAAGGAAACATTTAAGAAAATATACAAAATTACGGATAAGAAAATACAAATATGAAAATCAATATTCAATACAGGTTATAAAATTGCAAACCAAAGAATTTAGATAGTTGAGTTGACGAATGATGCAAAGACTTGAAAGGGAAGAAAGAGATCCCTCACGGGAAGGGGAATGAAGTGGGGACAGAAGACAGCTCAAACTCTGCACTAAATAGCTTGGGGTAAATTTTGGGGCTTAAAGCCTAGAAACTAAGCGAAGCAGCGAAAGAAATACAGAAAAAAAACAACAATTAGGGATAATGCAAATATTAGAGGAGAATAATAGATCATTTGGGTTGAAGGGCTGAATGGACATGGAGATGCATCGAAGAGGCGTTATGAAGTGGAGTAAGAAAAGTCAAGAGACAGTTCGAGCAGAACTTGGGAGTATAAGAAATTTTTTTTTTAGCATATTAAAATGAATGAATTTGGAGTCGAGGTGAATGAATCCAGAAACTGAGCGAAGCTTAAAGCAGCATTAAATGAAATTATCCAGAATAATATATATAAGAAACAGAGAGAGAGAGAGAGAGAGAGAGAGAGAGAGAGAGAGAGAGAGAGAGAG